GTACACTTTCTTGAATAGAGTGGATGTACTCATTGCTTGCTTGAAGGCCAGTTCAACTCTGTGTGACATGCACTTTACCATCAATATGGATTTGTTGACATTTCTCTGGAATATGGAAATTACTCCATTGAACTTGCCTGTAAATGACAATTAACTACTCAACAACATATATATGAAAAGAGTCCCCCCCCCCCAAACAAAATTGAACAAAAGTTGTTTCACACGATGACATATGTACAACTAACTATAGATTTTTTTCCCAAGTACAAATGTGCTGGTCAGTTACTGGGTCAAAGAGCAGCTTTGCAGTTTGATTGGTAAATCTGCTGTCCAGGTTGCAAAATTGGTGTCTCAATGTTATACTAGTTTAAATGACTAGGAAGGAAATACTAGTAGTAATAAAGCAAGGCAATTTTACCTGTATTTACACTAGCACCATCACCAATGAATGCCACCATCTTCTTAAGAATATCTTTGCTTGCGATATTTTGGAAGATCAGGGCCTTCATGATAGCATCATATATTCCATGAGCATCACCATTCTTACAAGCTATAATTCCCAGGAAATAACAATGAGTAATACCATTGTTGGCAAAATGAACATAGACGATCTCATTCTCAACAACTGAAATATCTGTGCTACCATATAGATATGTATTTAGCATCCTGAATGTGACTTTCAATTTCACTTCGTACAACTTCAGAAATTTTTATTCCTAAGAATAAATAAAAAGAAATTATATATTTATAGCAGAAATACATTTAAATAAATAATAATAACTTGAGTATAGTGCAAAAATCAGGAAAGAGTTCCTTTATACCCCCCATTCCTAACCCTTACCCTACCCTCAAGTAATCCCCATTTAATTGTACATCCCTCTCCTAAGGACATCTATAGTTATCTAGAGGGGCATTTACAAATGAATTGGGTAACTGTGAGCGAGTGTTAGAGTTGGGGTTATGAATGGGGGGTACAAAAGGAACTCTTGCCAAAAAATCATAATGCCAAATTGTTTGAGAAATAAATCTATAAAAAGATAAAATCACATAATACAGAAGCAGTTATAATGAGACGATGATGAAAAAGATGTTTTTCTGATGACATCATATGACTAAACATTCACAAAGCACCATTGAATAAACAAAGTATAAACAATTTTACCTGTAAGTAGGTCCAATATCCAGCTGCTTTTTTTCATCCACTTCACACATCCATACGAAGTCAGTAATAGGTCTAGAGTGTTTCACAATGGCGT